AGGACCAATTACTGCTCAGGAATTTGGAAAGGGAGAACACGTATAGACCAAAGTATTGATGGTTAGGTACATTGGATCTAAGCCAATCCTTTATTTATATATATACACATATACATACATACATACATACATATAAAATTATACTAGGATGCTCCTTTCACTACGAGCCTCCATGGACTCCCATGGGTGGAGTGGACTCAACAAGCCTAGAAAAACCATGCAAGCTCAGAATAAAAAAAGAAGACAACGAGAAGGCAGAATATATGCGCAGCCTGAAACAGTCATAGTAAGACAAGAAGTGTGTTCACGTGCTTTAAGACTTCTTCATGTGATAAATCTTAAAAACAAGCCTCTTATCACTTGTCGGTAAATCATACATTTACAGGGGGCAAAGATTAAAAAAAACATTTACAGGGGGCATCTTACTAATAGAGGGAATAAAGATTAAAAAAAAATATATTTATTTTATTTATAAAAATTTATTTTTAACATAGTGTATAAAACGATCTAAATACAAAAAAAATAAAAAAACTTTTACAAGCATTGTTGGACGGAACTTCCAAACACGTACTGAGTAGAGCCCACTCTGGTCCTCCAAATTTTAGATTTTCATAATTTTAACTCGTGCTGCAGGTTTGGTTATGCCATCCCACGTATTTTCAATCTGATCATATGTTTTACATCCGTCTACTTGTAAGTGTGCACGTGCCGACATATGTCAGGCATTATATTATATTATAAAAAATTGAATTAACTTTTTACTGTCTTTTACCGTGGCTGCTTACTTCAGCGGAGTCTATCCCTTCTTTTCTTTTTTTTTCAAATCATTGAAAAAATTATTTAGCTACGATCATTATTTTGTTTTTTCAATGTTGGCATTAATTTAATATTTATAATTTATTACAGTTTGTGTATTATGAAATATAATTAAGAAAACACCCTAAGATTAAATCAAAGCTTAAAATTATAAATATAATTTAATTTTATCAATTAAAAACAATAAAAACCAACATTACTACATTTTGCCTATTTATTGTTCATGATACATGTAAAGCTATAGCTTCGCCCATTTAGTCCTTTTTTTTTATCCCTATGTTTTGAGGCTTTTGTGTTTAAGTTTTAAATTTATTTTTTTATATATTTTAGTCCTTAAAAATAAGAGGAAATAGAAAAAGTCATAAAAAATAAAAAAAATAAAAAATATTTGGTTGATCATATTCCAGCTTAAAAAACCTCGATGTTGGTGTTAATTGTTTCATAATTGAGAGAGGAATTCAGTGGAAGTTGTGTTTTTTTTTTTTACATGTCATAAAAATAAGTCGAGGTTTGTAAATTTTTTTATCCAATTAGTTTTTTTAAGAATGATTATAGGATTGTTATTTTTATTTTTTTTGGTTTTGACATGATTTTGTTGAGTTTTTGTGATATTTTTAGGGTATTTTAAATAAATAAGGTTGAAAAGTTTTTAGGTTTTCAAAACTTAAATCTTGATTTTTTAATAAAAAAAAATCTACTAAAAGATGATATGTTCTCTGCTTGATAAGCACCGTCGGTAAATCATACATTTACAGGGGGCATCTTACTAATTGAGGGAATAAAGATTAAAAAACAATATTTTTTAATCTTTATTCAAATAATATATTTATTTTAATTTTTTGAACATAGTGTATAAAACGATCTAAATACAAAAAAACAAAAATAAAAAAACTTTTACAAGCATTGCTGGACGGAACTTCCAAACACGTACTGAGTAGAGCCCACTCTGGTCCTCCAAATTTTAGATTTTCATAATTTTAACTCGTGCTGCAGGTTTGGTTATGCCATCCCACGTATTTTCAATCTGATCATATGTTTTACATCCGTCTACTTGTAAGTGTGCACGTGCCGACATATGTCAGGCATTATATTATATTATAAAAAATTGAATTAACTTTTTACTGTCTTTTACCGTGGCTGCTTACTTCAGCGGAGTCTATCCCTTCTTTTCTTTTTTTTTCAAATCATTGAAAAAATTATTTAGCTACGATCATTATTTTGTTTTTTCAATGTTGGCATTAATTTAATATTTATAATTTATTACAGTTTGTGTATTATGAAATATAATTAAGAAAACACCCTAAGATTAAATCAAAGCTTAAAATTATAAATATAATTTAATTTTATCAATTAAAAACAATTAAAACAATAAAAACCAAAAATACTACATTTTGCCTATTTATTGTTCAAGATACATGTAAAACTATAGCTTGGCCCAAGTAGGTTTTTTTTTTTTTATCCCTGTGTTTTGAGGCTTTTATGTTTAAGTTCTAAATTTTAATTTTTATGCATTTTAGTCCTTAAATTTAAGAGAGAAAAAAACATAGAAAAAAGAATAAGAAAAGTGAAAGTGTTGATCATGTTCCGGCTTCAAAAAACTCGATGTTGGTGTTAATTGTTTCTAATTGAGAGAGGAGTTTTTTTTAGACATATCATAAAAAGTAGATAGAAACTTGAAATTTTTTTTATCCAATTAGTTTTTTTTAGAATGATTATAGGATTGTTATTATTATTATTTTGGTTTTGACATGATTTTATTGAGGTTTTGTAGTTCAAGATAAACTTAATTGAGTCAAGTTTTATTTTATCAAACCAAATCTCACACTAGACTAAGTATTGACTATCATAAAACTAAACCCAAAACAATTAAGCTAAGCCCACAAGCTTAGTTGAAACTTCTTTTACATTTTTTTTTCCTTATCTATTTGAACCCGTGCAGTCACATACAAAGTAATGTTAGAGATAAATTTTCAAGGATTTAAATTCATGCGGGTGAGAATTATGTGAGAATTAATGGGCAAAATCAATAAATTTTATGATGTTTGGTAAATAATTTATAACATAATTATTTTATGGACTCTCTTTGAATGAAAAAATAAATACAGTGAAATTATAGAAATCTTAAATAGAAATATATATATTTTTTACAAATCATAATTTTTCTGGGTGTTTTTTTCAAAGAAAATTCAAAAAATAAAGAATAAAATATTATTAATTATTCTTCTATTACCATAATATTTTTTTTTTTTGAGAAAATCACTTGGCATTGCTCAAGCCGAAATTCCTATTCAGGCCTGTGCAGTGTCCATTGCATGGTGGGAAGACAAGAAGCAACCCAATGTAATAAAGTAGCAGCAGTACGTATTTTTTTTTTTTTGTTGGAATATAATGAATTTAATAGACTTCAACAAACTTTATGTTAACTTGTCACAAGATGGGGTGGTGGCGCAGTTGGCTAGCGCGTAGGTCTCATAGCTAAAAGAGTTATCCTGAGGTCGAGAGTTCGAGCCTCTCTCACCCCATGTAATGTTTTTTTTTCCAAAAAAAAAGAAGACAACAACAGACAACTGCTCTTATTTATATCCGGTATTAAAACTCTATAATTCGGCTTTTCATCCATGAGCCCATGGATTTGAGATGCATTTGTCCATATGCATGTAAACAGGACAAAATATTATATTCAGTAAGCTGGAATATGGAAAACAATATTTTATCACGCAGGCCTTCTGTTATTACCAGCTCTCTTCCTAATTATTTACCTGTAAGAAAGGATGTTCCTGCGTTGAATTGACATGGATGTGGATGTGGATGGTAACGACACGACCATTTTCGTTGAGTCTTTTTTTAGCATTCTACACATGGAAATATTCTCTTCTCTGATAGACATCATATACTCCAATTGGACCTCTACTTTGTATCATTGCGAGCAGAGTTTTCTTCACAAAAAATGGCTTCGGATCCTGGGGGTGTTTAAGCTCACAGTGGATTTTTTTTTTTAAAAAAAAAACAAACTTAAAAATATATTTAAATATTTTTTTAAGATTTTTTATCTTATTTTTAACATCAATGCATTAAAATCATCTTAAAATATTTAAAAAATTCATTTAATGTTTTTTCAAATAAAAAATAATTTTTAAAAATACCTGAAAACAGAAATGTAAGTTGTTAGAAACACCTTCTTATTACAATAATAATACTTAAAGTTACCGTTTGTTTTTCCGCAGAATAGAACAAAAATCTACGTTAACAGAGGCAATTAAAAGGGAAAAAAAGGAAAAAATAATAATTAGAAACTCAAGTATGAAGTAATATAAGAATTTCTTTGCAGTGTAGGATATTTTGGAGCTTAACTCGACACCTCCCCTCGTAAAAATCTTTAGATAGAGACCTGATAGATCTATAGCTAATTGCATATTATCATTACTGCTATTTTAACCTTTCTCCTTTCGCTTTAAACCTCTCCATGACTTCAGGTGCGTTGACAAAGAACCATGTGCCAGGCCAAAGTTTTTTTAATGAATTTTTTCTGTTAAAGGGCCAAAATTGTTATTTTATGTATCTATCTAAAGTGACTTGCTGGATTAAAGTATGCTATCAAGATGGAATTTTGCAGTTGGATCATTCTAAAGTCATTTGCTTCGAGGGGAATATTTTGATGCAAACTTGAATGATTATCATGATTGAAACAGGAACTATTATGAACTAGAAGAGGCTACGTGTGATAATAGTGACGCCTGGAATCTCAAAAGAAAATGTTATCACTCTTTTAATCCTCTAGTAAATCATAAATTAGCTATTATAATATTGAGAAACGAATTAATTAGCCCCCTCGTTTCAAAAACTAATGTTTAGTCATTTTTGTCTGTTTTATGTTTTTTTCAATTTATTTTAATTACGTTTTAAATTGTTAAAAAGGAAAAAATAGATATCATTGAATGATTGATGAGAGAAAGAAAACATTTTTTGAGATGAATTAATATTAAATTAAGCAAGGTTAGTAATGGCCAAGGGACTGATAATTAATTTTTGAAATGAAGAGGACTAATTAAATTATTTCTTGAGAATAGAGAGACTAATTGATAATTTACTCCTCATGATGTGCCCTCTCGACATTTTCTAGGTTGAGCATCATCGAGCCTATAAATACTCGAAGGCTTCGCATTGAGTTAATAAGATAAAAAAATATGGTAGTTGAATATCTTCCTTGTTATTCATGGCAAAGTACGTACAATCCCATAGAAGAAGTAGGCCTATTTTTTCGAAACACAGATCAATTAGGCAGCTATCCCGAGGACTCTTCTTTATGCGTATCTTTTGAAGGTTTCTCTGATATCTCCTCTCCTATCCCAATTTCTCCAGTTTCTCTAGGTTTCCCCCCCCATGTTGATGATTTGCCTGTCCCCATGTCCCATCCAGAGGAACAGAAATATTCCCTAATTCCGGAGTCTAATATTACTTTTGATGATCCATTGATGGTAAGAGAATTTGAGGATATAAATGATTGGTTGGCTAGTGAGAACAGTGGTGCTCTGCAAAACTTTCCTGGAGATGATGCAGGGAGCCTGCTTGTCTCTCCACCATCGATGGAGACATCTATAGACACACTGACGACTCAAACATCCTTGGTTCTGCCCGGTATGGGAATGGAATTTGATAGCCAATTGATGATTCTCCATCTGCTCAAGGCTTATGGAGAGGCTGCGGAGATGGAGATGAAAGAGTTAGCAGAAAAAATTATGAGTCGGTTAAAAGAGATGGCATGCCCTATTGGTTCAACCCTGGAGCGACTTGCTTATTATTTGATTCAAGCACGGGAAGGGGAAGTGGACTTTCTATGGCAAGAAGCAAGCAAGAATTATGAGGCTGCCTTTAAAGCATTCTATCAGATATTTCCCTACGGGAGGTTTGCTCATTTTACTGCCAATTCTGTAATACTAGAAGCCATCCCTGAAGAAGCTGACATAGTGCACATAGTTGACTTTGACATTGGTCAGGGTGTGCAATGGCCTCCACTGATCGAAACACTTGCGAGGCGAGGCAAAAGAATGGTGAGATTGACTGCAATAAAATGGGAGGAGGAAGAGGATTGCATTGGTTTTGGTTCCTCGAGGAGGTTTGAGGAGACGAAATTGCGCTTATATGAACACGCACAAACATTTGGTTTGAGATTGAAAGTGGAGGAGATGGACATGGAGGGTTTGGTCAGTGAGATGAAGAAGACAAAGAAAAGAGGTGGAAGAGGGGAATGGTTAGCCTTCAATTGCACGGTGGGTCTCCCTCACATGGGGAAAGGCAGGAGTGCCAGGAGTCTTGGGGAGTTTCTAAGGTTAGCCAAAGATTCGATCACCCTCAATACTGATTGTGGTAGTGGTACTAGGGGAACTATAACTATTGCAGATGGGATTGGTTGGGGCATGGAAATGAAGGAGCAGAAAGGATACGGCTCTGTTTTTGCAGGGCAGCTGGTTCAGTTCATGGCCTTGATAGAATCAATGGACTGTCATTTCCCTGACCATCTAAGAGAAGCAAGAATAGCCATGGAATGCGTGTTTTTGATACCTTATGTTTCTTCTTCTTTTGGCTTGCAAATGTGGGATGATATTGCTAAAGAAAGCAGGGCACTCTCAGAGGTAGGGTTGGTGGCCTGGGAAATGAGAAAAGATAATCTTCTAGAGGCCAGGGAATTGATCAGAGAAACAGAAAGCTTCTACTGTGTGAACATCGAAGGAGTGAAGGAGAACCAAATGGTACTGAGCTACATGGAAGTTCCTCTGGTGAAGGTTTCAAGCTGGACATAAATGGAGGACACAAAACGAAGTACATACTTACCCAGAGGACACTGTAAAGGAATCAAATATTCATCATCTGCTCACAGAATTTTATAATTCTATTCACCATGTATAAAACAAAATTGACATGAATCCAATTCTTCATCGTTTATTTCAATTGATTAATCAGTGATGATGGCGTCGGCTATCTTTTTCTTAGCCAAACAGAAAAACAAAGTTCGTGGTATGAGGTTGTTTCAGCAGAATTTGTGGTGAAATTTCCTGGTGTTATTAATCGGTTGCAGCATTGCAATGACAACATGCATGAGCTATTGTACACGACTTTATATGGGCCCGTTTGTGCAGCATAAAAACACCACAGCATTTCCCCAAGTTTTTTTATTTGATATATTCTTCTTTTTTACACAGCTTTTGGACACTTTTCTTCATTCTAGTCTTATTTTGAGTTTTTTAAATTGATAATATAAAAGTTAATAAATTGGTGTTAATATTTGATTTAAAATCAAATTAGTTACACAAATATTATCGTTAGACAAAGCTTTTAACATGTAAAGAATTCTTTTTATAATACAAATTGGTCACTAAAGAATATATCTAATCACTGAATTTGAATGTTCATTTTCTTAATATATCAATATTTAATTCTTTATATATATATATATATATAAACATGGCAACGCGTGGGTCATGAATATAATAGCCAATAAGGCTATAAATTAAATAGCCTCAATACACCTTTGTTTATGTGTTTTAAAAGAGTTTTTGAAAAAATTTAATTTTTTTTTATTTTTTTATTAACTTCAAATTAATATATTTTTAATGTTTTTAAATTATTTTGATATACTGATATTAAAAATAATTTTTAAAAAATAAAAAAATATTATTAATATACATTTTAATATAAAAAATTATTTAAAAAATAATCGTAACCACGTGGCTTTTAAGCAATTATATTCTATACGCGTGCTTCTCAGGTACTGTTTACTTGTAATTGGCAAATACTGTTTCTCAAGTTTGTTCCTTTACCTCAGATAATGTTATCCAAAAATCTTTGAATTATTAAAAGAGAAAGATCAACTGTGGAAACAATCATGCAACTGCGCTGCTTCTGTTTTTGGCCTGTTTATGAAGCTCATATTCTAACGGTTCTTGCGGGGAATTTCTTTGAAGATGAGCTCAGCTTCACCTGATCACGCCTGATTAGAATGAGCGGAAGCATTCAGTTTAGAGAAGCTGCCAAGCATAAGAAGAGGACCCCAACAGCAACTTGTAATAATGGAATACAAACGTCAACATCTGTACTGTAAGCACGTCCCTTTCCCCGCCGTCATGGACTCTTGCGAATGTGATTATTCGTGATGAAACAATGAGTTGAATTTGATGCTTTAGGAACCTTACTATAGGCCATGTCTGCATCTGGGAGGAACGACAGCAAGAGCCAGAACTGAGGCCAGAAGCCTTACAGGCTGTTTGAAAATCAATATTCATTTCAATTTTATTCAAATCCCATGCATGTTTGGAAAGATATCTTATCAGAATAATTGAATTCGACTTTTTAAAAAGTCTTTAACGGAATTCACGCATTGAAATTGCAGCTGATGAGCTGTGATTGACTCGAACTTGGCTTTTATTTTAACGTTACCACATATATTACCTCATCTATCCTTAAAAATTGTTGCTGTTACTGATCTGCCCTCCCTCTCTCCCCCTCCCTCTCTCCCCCTCCCTCTCTCTCGCTCTCGCTCTCACATGGAAAAGGAAATGGCAGTCCTGTTTTTTCTTTTTGTTTTGTTAGAGTTACTTGTAGATTATTTTAGTAATTTTTATTTAAAAATAATTTTTTATTTTTTAAATATTATTTTTAATATTAATATTAAAAAATAATATAAATCATATCTTAAAAAATTATTTAAAAATTTAAACTATTGAATTGAATTGAATTTATTTTTTAATATGATATCTAAATTTTGGTGACCAAGTAATTATAAATTTAAATTTTATTATTTTTATTTATTTTATAAAAACTAAATACAAGGTAGTATCAATCTATATAAATTTCAAGTTTAAAAAAATTCCGTTTAAAAAATTGTGTTAAAAAATAATATAAATTATATCTTGAAATTTTATTTACAAACTTAAATTATTTTATTGAATTGATTCTTTAATAATTAATACATTAAAATAATTTAAAAAAAAAATTAAACAAGTAATTTTTTTAAAATTATTTTAAAATATTTTTAAAATATAGAAACATGAGTAATCAAAATACATGTGGTATTAATATTAACGTGGGCTGAACCCATTAGCTAGTTTTGATCACACGATTCAAGACAGTAGCTAGACACTGAAGCAAGGCAAGTTCAGAGATGGACCTCCATGCAAGAAAAAAAAAAAAAATTGATCCGTTTCAGGGAAATCTCATAAAAATCCTACCTTTCTAGCTATGCTACTGATTCTTATGTTAGAAGAAATGATGGTTTTTATACGTGTATGAATGATAATATGGTAAAATGATAAAAAAAAAAAATAGTATCTATTAGTAATTTTCCAATTTCAGAATTTTTAAAAATTCCATCACTTCAAAATTTTATTCAAAACAAAAGAATTCTGTCACTAAATCAAATCAATTCAAGAATCTGTTACTTAAAAATCAATTCATTCAATTCTTAAAACAATTGGATCCAAAAAAAGCTGTTAGACCTCAGTCCAAAGAGAATACCCATTTTCTTGGGCTAGAATATCTTAGCCCATAATTCCTAGCAAAAGATGCCCAGTATTTCGGGCCCGTTTCTTGTTGCCCTGTCGAAAGCACGGATAGATTAGTCCTTTCGTTGATTGTTGAGAAAGAATTATAAATATACCCGAGGTTTCAGTAGGGGTGTCTTGGATTATTAATATGGTTTTTTTAAAAGTTTTTTTTTAAATATATTAAAATAATATTTTTTATTTTTTAAAATTTATTTTTCACATCCTACATCAAAACAATATAAAAAATCAATTTTAAGTAATTTTTTTTCTTGAATTTTAGCAAAGCTCTGTTGGGTCCACCCTCCAAGATGGTGGCGACATATCCAGTCTTATTTTCCATTCTCAGAGTCAAATACTCAAATGTCTGTCTACACACACACACACACACATATTAGTTTATTATATGGGGCCTTGACAAGCTTCTCAACCCGTGAACCTTTGCAACGATGCACCTGGAAATGCTCATGTTAATTATAATCGGGAAAGCATCCACGATCCAATCTGCATCCACGATCCAATCTATCTTCCCTCTCTTTCGTGAACGCGTTATGTGCTATAAATAGCTTCTTCTCAACACGGCATGGGCTAGGGCTAGGCATTGCCAGATGTGGTGGTTCTGTCTTACTTGACTCGCCGTATCTTTTTAATCTGGTTAATGTATTTGAAAATTTGAGTCCAATCAAGCCAGCATGAAGACTAGTTCTACATCCCTGGAGTAGCCTCTCAGAACCTTGCTAAAGACCAAAGATTTACGTTTTCTTTATCGAAAATAGAAAATGCTGAAAAGTTCAAAAAAAAAAAAAAAAGATTCAATGTCTCTGCTTGAAAAGCTCGTACGGCGTTTTCTTATCGCTCCCGGAGGTTACCCTGTCATTTTAGACAGGAAACAGGATTTCGTGCCCCCAATCCACGTCATGAGCATGATGACTCTACCCGTAAACAACACTCATAAAAACTCAGGAGCAAGTAATCGTACGTACGTGGTCCAGCCCTGGCCAGCCTTGTGCCCTTGCGGTGGTGCGATCCTGGGTCCAGCCTCTAATACCACCATGAATGTGTATGTAGTAGCTAACTAGTTAGAATACAAAACCACATGATGCACAATTTTATTGATTGCCACAGGTCATAATGATCCAAGCACATGTAGATAAACAAATTTAAGTGTCATTGTTAAGTAGTTGGACTATCAATTTTTCTTGTCGCGTCTGCCGACCTTTTAGTTTTTACACCGCTAATTCACCATTCCAATGAACTTTAATTTTATATACCTAATTTAATTTTATATACTCAATTTATACTGTGTTTTAAAGTATTTGTTGTTTGCAGTTATATCAAAATAATATTTTTTAATTTTTAAAAGTTATTGTTAACATCAACACATCAAAATATCTAAAAAATAAAAAATAATGATTTAAAATAAAAAATAAAAAAATTTAATTTTTTTTAAAAATACTTTAAAAATATAAAAATAAACATCACAATTTACTACTTCCAAGAAAAAAAATACTTTAAAATAATTTTTTATAGTCAAGCACCAATATTAGCCATTTCCATCTCAGACAAAACGATAGAAAGATCCCCTCTCCTTGTTAGAATTGTTATGTGCAGCAATCATGGAAAAAACATTTATAATTTACTCTGAAAAAAGAGTATCATTAAATAAATTACATTAATCATTAATAAAATAATGTAATTCATATGTTATTACCATTAGTGTTATAATTTATGGCTAAATTATTTCACTATTTATGTATATAAATAAAAATATATCTTAGAAAATAAAATAAAAAAGTTAAAGAGTGTAAAAAAAAAACATAAGAAAAAAAAGATTGGTTACCAAGAACAATAATCTTGCTTCTTTATATAGCAGTATGTATAAGAACAATAAAAGTAGAGTTAAGTGGATATAATCTTGCTTATTTTTTTCATCTTTAATAATATTAATTTTTTTTATAAATACAGATAATTTATTAAATTATATTAAATATTATGTTAATATATTTAATTTTAAATAAATAATTATCTCGTTGAAAATTCCAACACTCCTAACACTGATCAAATACCTATAGCATTTAAAGGATGGGTAATTCGATCTTAGTACTTAGGGTCTCTATCTTCCCAAAACATTTTCAAATGGATTATACGTAGAAACCAGAAAATTAAGTTTTCGCAATGCATCAGAAGGGTCGCTGTATCTTGCAAGAGCAGATTTAAATAAATAATGTAAAAGAATTCTGTCAGGTCTCATAATTGATATTACA